AAAATAAACAAAATTAGGTTTTTAATATCATCTCAATTTAAAACCAGCATAAATTGGCTAGGAGAATAAGTATAGAAAGAACATGGTTTTTTTCAAGAAAATAAGGTACAATCCCAACTTGAAATAAAGGAATAACTGACTTGTATTTGAAAAAAGACAAAAATTAACAAAGGACACATGGCCAATACGAAACAATTCCATAATTTTTTAAAAAGACGTTCATAACTCATTTTTGTTTTTAAATTGCACCCATGATATTTGTAAGGTAAGATACAAACCTGTACAATATCTGCCATCCCCTACAAAACCATCATTACATGAACAAGTGTAGTTGCCAACTGTGTTTGTACAAGACGCGTTTGAGTGACAAGAATGCGCATTGGTTGAGCATTCGTCAATATCTAAGAACAAATATGAGATACATTTAAAATGATATCACAATTACGAATTCTATAACAGGAATTAACAAAAGAAGTTTTCAACATCATGTCAATTAAAAAAACATGTATTCGTCAGGAGAATCAATAAAGGAAAGAACAAAACATGTTTCTACAAAAAAGGTACAAAATCAACATTGAATAAAGAAATACTTTACAAGCATTAAAACCAACACGAAAATTACCAAATGACACATTGGAACAACAAAGCGATCCCAGGATTTTTTTAAACAGATCTTCATAACAATTTTTTGTTCTGAAAGAGTTCACACGATACTTTCTTTAATAGAAACGAACCGTTACAATTTCTGCCATCTCCTACAAAACCACTATTACATGAACAAGTGTAGTTGCCAACTGTGTTTGTACAAGACGCGTTTGAGTGACAAGAATGCGCGTTGGTTGAGCATTCGTCAACATCTAAGAACAAATATGAGATACACTTAAAAATTGCCACTGTACTAAAGAAACTAAATTCTCTGAACTCTATAACAAAAATATACACAATAAGGTTTTTAATATCATCTCAATTTAAAACCAGCATAAATTGGCTAGGAGAATAAGTATAGAAAGAACATGATTTTTTTCAAGAAAATAAGGTACAATCCCAACTTGAAATAAAGGAATAACTGACTTGTATTTGAAAAAAGACAAAAATTAACAAAGGACACATGGCCAATACGAAACAATTCCATAATTTTTTAAAAAGACGTTCATAACTCATTTTTGTTTTTAAATTGCACCCATGATATTTGTAAGGGTAGATACAAACCTGTACAATATCTGCCATCCCCTACAAAACCATCATTACATGAACAAGTGTAGTTGCCAACTGTGTTTGTACAAGACGCGTTTGAGTGACAAGAATGCGCATTGGTTGAGCATTCGTCAACATCTAAGAACAAATATGAGATACACTTAAAAATTGCCACTGTAATTAAGAAACTAACTTTTCTGAACTTTATAACAAAAATGAACAAAATTAGGTTTTTAATATCATCACAATTTAAAACCAGCATAAATTGCTTAGGAGAATAAGTATAGAAAGAACATGATTTTTTTCCAGAAAATAAGGTATAATCCCAACTTGAAATAAAGGAATAACTTACTTGTATTTGAAAAAAGACAAAAATTAACAAAGGACACATGGCCAATACGAAACAATTCCATGATTTTCTAAACAGACGTTCATAACTCATTTTTGTTTTTAAATTGCACACGTGACATTTTGTAAGAGTAGATACAAACCTGTACAATGTGTGCCATCTCCTACAAAACCATCATTACATGAACAAGTGTAGTTGCCAACTGTGTCTGTACAAGACGCGTTTGAGTGACAAGAATGCGCATTGGTTGAGCATTCGTCAATATCTAAGAACAAATATGAGATACATTTAAAATGATATCACAATTACGAATTCTATAACAGGAATTAACAAAAGAAGTTTCCAACATCATGTCAATTAAAAAAAACATGTATTCGTCAGGAGAATCAATAAAGGAAAGAACAAAACATGTTTCTACAAAAAGGTACAAAATCAACATTGAATAAAGGAATACTTTACAAGCATTAAAACCAACACGAAAATTACCAAATGACACATTGGAACAACAAAGCGATCCCAGGATTTTTTTAAACAGATCTTCATAACAATTTTTTGTTCTGAAAGAGTTCACACGATACTTTCTTTAATAGAAACGAACCGTTACAATTTCTGCCATCTCCTACAAAACCACTATTACATGAACAAGTGTAGTTGCCAACTGTGTTTGTACAAGACGCGTTTGAGTGACAAGAATGCGCGTTGGTTGAGCATTCGTCAACATCTAAGAACAAATATGAGATACACTTAAAAATTGCCACTGTACTAAAGAAACTAAATTCTCTGAACTCTATAACAAAAATATACACAATAAGGTTTTTAATATCATCTCAATTTAAAACCAGCATAAATTGGCTAGGAGAATAAGTATAGAAAGAACATGATTTTTTTCAAGAAAATAAGGTACAATCCCAACTTGAAATAAAGGAATAACTTACTTGTATTTGAAAAAAGACAAAAATTAACAAAGGACACATGGCCAATACGAAACAATTCCATAATTTTTTAAACAGACGTTCATAACTCATTTTTGTTTTTAAATTGCACCCATGATATTTGTAAGGGTAGATACAAACCTATACAATATCTGCCATCCCCTACAAAACCATCATTACATGAACAAGTGTAGTTGCCAACTGTGTTTGTACAAGAGGCGTTTGAGTGACAAGAATGCGCGTTGGTTGAGCATTCGTCAACATCTAAGAACAAATATGAGATACACTTAAAAATTGCCACTGTACTTAAGAAACTAACTTCTATGAACTCTATAACAAAAATATACACAATAAGGTTTTTAATATCATCTCAATTTAAAACCAGCATAAATTGGCTAGGAGAATAAGTATAGAAAGAACATGATTTTTTTCAAGAAAATAAGGTACAATCCCAACTTGAAATAAAGGAATAACTTACTTGTATTTGAAAAAAGACAAAAATTAACAAAGGACACATGGCCAATACGAAACAATTCCATAATTTTTTAAACAGACGTTCATAACTCATTTTTGTTTTTAAATTGCACCCATGATATTTGTAAGGGTAGATACAAACCTGTACAATATCTGCCATCCCCTACAAAACCATCATTACATGAACAAGTGTAGTTGCCAACTGTGTCTGTACAAGACGCGTTTGAGTGACAAGAATGCGCATTGGTTGAGCATTCGTCAATATCTAAGAACAAATATGAGATACATTTAAAATGATATCACAATTACGAATTCTATAACAGGAATTAACAAAAGAAGTTTTCAACATCATGTCAATTAAAAAAAACATGTATTCGTCAGGAGAATCAATAAAGGAAAGAACAAAACATGTTTCTACAAAAAAGGTACAAAATCAACATTGAATAAAGGAATACTTTACAAGCATTAAAACCAACACTAAAATTACCAAATGACACATTGGAACAACAAAGCGATCCCAGGATTTTTTTAAACAGATCTTCATAACAATTTTTTGTTCTGAAAGAGTTCACACGATACTTTCTTTAATAGAAACGAACCGTTACAATTTCTGCCATCTCCTACAAAACCACTATTACATGAACAAGTGTAGTTGCCAACTGTGTTTGTACAAGACGCGTTTGAGTGACAAGAATGCGCGTTGGTTGAGCATTCGTCAACATCTAAGAACAAATATGAGATACACTTAAAAATTGCCACTGTACTAAAGAAACTAAATTCTCTGAACTCTATAACAAAAATATACACAATA